AAGACATACACTCCGGAGTGGAAGGGCAACACTGTGCCTACGTGAGTTCATGGGGCTTGAATTGGAAGCATTAATGCAAAACAACGTCGACATGTATATGTGTTTAAAGTCACATGAAATATTTAATGTGTCGATTGGAATCAGAGTGCGAGTGCTCACAGCCCAGCAGTGTGTCGTCCTTTCCCACTTGGTAGAGGGGATATCCTTCGGAATCCTCGGCACATGTTGAAAAGAACGAACCTTAAATAAAAACAACAGCCAAGGACCCGACCATCCAACCCAGGGAGGTATTATGGGCTGTGTATAATGTGTGTCCGATTTGATGTCCGTGGGCATTCCAGAATGAATTATTAATCTTTAGTTTGCGCCGCGCTTGTTTTCCCCTATTTTTTTTCTCTCTTGAACGGTCGGAAATGAATGGCAGCCCCGGTGGTGGGATCAAGGGCCGAGAGAGAGAGTGGAATGTTTTTCGCTTTTTGCTTTTTATAGCGTTCGATTTACTGTTTGAATGCACTCCACTGGTTGTTTAGATACGGATGGGGCCTGTGGGGAAATCGGTTCGGAAAATTGGAAGTTTGAAAAGCGGAATTGATGATTGAGGGAAAGTTCTCATTTTTTATGAGGAAGAAAAGTAAAAGTAGGGCAGATAACTACTTCAGCGGTGCCGGTGGTGTGTGTAGTGGTAAGCGTGATTGCCTCTCACCCCAAAAGGCCTGGGTTCAATCCCAGTCGATGTCACCGGGATTTTCTGAGGCATAAAATCTCTGATAAAGGGAAAGTAAAGCCGTTGGTGTCCGGTATAGTAATCTTTTTTTTTAATACTTTATTTAAGAGATTTTTAGCCTTAGGCTTGTTCATATCTTTAGTATAGTAAATATTAAATTGATTTCTTAACTCGTTATCATTGAAAAAGTTCGATAGGTTGAAATTCGGAAGCAGTTTGAGAGTTCTGTTTTTGAGGTGCTCTGTCGGTGTCCATTAGACTGATGCAAAATTTGACTTTTTCGCTCCACAGTGCTTAAATGGTTTCAAATCGGGTCCTGATTAGCCTCCCAAAGTTACAACTCATTTGGTTAGAAACAGACTTCGCACAAGCCATTTGAAGTTTACATGTAAATTACTATGGAAAATCTCAACTTTTTGTTCATTGCCTTCTAGTCTTTTTCCACATTGAGCTCGAAACAGTCCGATAGCAATTCTTATAGAAAATTTTCTCAGCTACAACTGCTGAAGATCGTTACTATGTAAAACGAGACAGGAAAAAGTTATTAATTATTCAAGAGATTGGTAAACTTATGACATGATCAAGCAGCTGCTCTGCAGGCAACACTGTATGTTGCAGTCTGACATAGTAGCCATGATTTTTGTGTCCTATTCAACGCCCCAGAAACACCAATGTTGCCTGCTGAGCAGTTGATTGAGCATGATCATAAGACATCAGCGCATTGAACCATTGATAACTTTCGATCCTTGCATTTGATCAAAAAGTGGTCTTCAGCAAAGTTGTAGCTGGGAAAATTTCCTACAAGCATAGTTGAAAGTTTTTGAAGCAGACCGATATGGTGAATTATTAGATCGACATGAACAAAAATCTTGGTTTTCCCATAGTAATTCCCATACAAACTTCAAATGGTTTGTGCCATCTCAGTTTCTCACCAAATGGGTTCAAATTTTGAGAGGTTAGTCAGGATCTGATTTGAAATCGTTTAAGTATTGTGGAGCGAAAATTTCAAATTTTGCATCACTCTAGTGTCCATGTAGCCAATCCTGCACGATGTGTCTTGGATACAAGCTCTTACTTGAAGTCTTTAGTTGACTCTTTTGTCAGTCATTTGTGGTCCTGAAAAGGACCTATAGGATGAAAGCTTGGAATCCACTTGATGGTTGAGTAATGCTAAGCTATTAAGGTGTTTTACACAGATAAGGCTGGCGAGCTGTATGTTGTTTGGAAGGGTGACGCGCTTGGTATAGATGGCCCACAGCGGCTCACGACGAGCAACTGAATCAAATCAGTAGCGGTGCAACTTCTTCCTCCTTCTTCGGCGAATGGACCGCGCTTGCGGGCAGCCTTTCGTCGTGTACTGGAGAACAATCTACAACGCAGGCGCCGAAAGCACTGCGGCTGCTGCTGATGATGACCACTTGACACCACCACTCACCACACGCAGTGATTGAATAAACACCGTTCGGTGATACCGGAGTGAATTCGATATTTAAATCTGTGCTAGGGAAAGCGCTTTTCGCAGTCAATCGGTGATAATTTTCATTATTATAGCAAAAGTTATAGTGAGCTTTTGAAAATTGATAAAGTATTCATTTAAGCAGAATCGTAGATGACATTGCAATCGATTGGCTTGTTAAGAATTAATATCCATCCGCTTTTGACAGAGTTATAAGTGGTCAAAACCTGACCACTTTTCGTAACGCGGTCGATTTTGGTTTTTTGAAATTGCACCCCCAATATGTTGCCGAAAGACGTAATCCTACGTCAAAAATTCCAAAGCGCAGAATTTTATTTTCTTATTACCCTTATATTTGATAAGACAAGATGCATAAAATACGCTTAAACGTTGGTTTACGTTTGATGAAGCACCAAATTTGGGCCCCTTGATATCTAGTAAGTAATTGATCAAATTATTCACCAGAATTGGTATAAATCAGTCAAGTAAGTGCCTGCAATTGATGATGATATGATGATATGGAACTACTACTCACTGTAGCAAGTCAATTGTCGGTAGACTGTGGACTATCCTCGTTGTTCGACTTGAGCATGTCCCAGAACCCCTCATTGTACTCAACTTGCCATTGTATGATGGATCAAAAATGGGTTGGGTGAATCCGTGGGTAACATCGCTCATGTGCATTAACGGGATAAATAAGAATCTCCTTCCAACAACAGGATCATACAACCGGTCAAAAAATCGAGCCATTCAACAGGAGGAAGCCCCAATGAGTGGGGAGAAGAGTCAGTGTTGGAAATATCGCCAAAAATTCACTATCGCAAGCGAGATGTTTTCACTAGGGAAATAATGGATGGGAATTTCGCAAAGCGTTATTTCCCCAGTGAACTGTCTTGTTTGAGATTGAGAGGAATTAATATCACTCCCACTTTGACTCACCTGCAAGATACTTTTTGCTCTAGCTTCTTGAACTTTTTTACTGGTAACTCGTGAGCAGCCATCGAAGTTTGAATTGCTGTTATGAGTAACGTAAAACAAGAGTTACAGAAAGTGAAAACCTTATAAATGTGTATTAAATGCATCCTAAATGTATACTTCCGCCAATTATAACGCACGAGTAGCTCCTACATGTATGCAACCTAAATATCATCATGCATAAAGCATAACACCTAATTTAGAAAAAGAAAACATAAACAGAGTGGCAGAAATTAGGCAAAATAATTTCATTCTACTCCGCGATGAACCATGACATAGGAGACAAGAACCTCAGCTAGCTCGTTTCTCGATTTTTTGTGAAATAGGTTGAGAGAGCGAAACCGGAATTCTCTTTCGGAATCGTTAGCTGAACTGTTTCGCACAACTCGTTCGGGAACTTTTGTTCTCATTTCGTTCGTGATTTTTGCATATCTAGATCTTCAGCGAAATGATTCTCTGAAGAAAGGCGAAAGAACTTTTTTTGAAAATGAACTTTTCAACACTGATTGGCGTCCTTTTGTAATCCAAGATGGCGACTTCCTGTTTTTAAAAAAAACTGTCGAATACCTTACACTATGGGTATTTTCGAAACGGGAAAGTCGTGTAGAGGATGGAAATAGATTATTGACACCATGTTGGAATCAAGATGGCGACTTCCAGTTTGTGAAAAGCAATCAAATACCTTACCATAGAGGTATTTTTTTTACGGGAACGACATTTAGACAACCGGTGGAAACTAACGATTTTAAATTGGCTCACTACTTGACTAGCCTATTGGTCCTGTGCAAATCTATTAATGTACCCTATTCCAGTCGAAATTCTAGTACTAAACTATGTTTGTTTTGATTTACTATGAAAGTTTGACAGATAAAATGAGGGGTTCGTGGGACCTCTGGCACCGAAAAGAGTACCAGAGCTGAATCAAAAAGTTGAGCACGTTTCTTCGATACCTTCTGGTCTTAGAGTTACCTCTATGGTTTAGAGGTTTAATAAATTTAACAACAAACATCGTAGACATACGGCAATTTTAATTTTTCGAATTGATCCCAGGTTCTGCTACCCATAAATGCATAACTATCCCTTGCGAATTGGAAATCAAACAACGATGGAACTGTTATGCTTTTATAGGTTGTTAAATACATCGTAAGTTTTTCAAGAAAACTATTGCACAAGATAATTTTTCAAGTATTTAGGAGCAGATTCCATCTAGTATTACAGATTATCAGAGGACATACCTAATCACGAAAGATCTACTTTGAAAGTCTTTTTAATAAAGAAAGCTAACCTAATCGAAAGAACTAGACACCTAAGGGGCTGTTCATAAACCACGTAGACAGTTGGGGGGGGGGGGGGTAACAATTATCCACGGCCCATACAAATTTAATTTTTTTTTGTATGGACAATTGTCTACGCAGGGGGGGGGGCAAGAATCCTAAAAAAACCGTCTACGTAGTTAATGAACAGCCCCTAAATTCATTCGGGACTTAAATTCACTGCGATCTGTTATTTGATTATTGTAATATATCCCATGTCCTTATAGTTATGTACAGCAAATGAATGGTCCTGTCGATGTATAATAAATCTGTTAAAAGTGATACGAGTGTCGAAATAGTCCCAAGTTACACGATACAATAGACGCAGGGAATCAGAAATTATTAAGAACTAATCACATTTCATCCACATCCGAGCCAGTTGTATAGTCCCTAACACCCCTAGCACATAAAAGGAAAAAGACACACATTGGAAAAGGACATGCCACCCCGCCCCATCATTGCGCCCGTGCCAAGCTACGGTAGTACCCATATACTGATGGTGGTTCTTTTCTCTCTCTTTATTCCGTTTCAGACTGTGGCCGTTGTGGTTTAGAATTTGCTACTCTCCAACCCCGAATCGAACCGCGAAACGTAACGTACCCAAAAGAAGTACCAAGTACCTAGACTTTCCCCAGTACCAGTACCGTAAAGGCCTTCTTTCCGCACCATCGGAAGTGACAAATTGTTGAAAGAAATTTATCCCGTTTAGAATTGTGTATCGTAAGCAACCATGGTGGGTCCCAGTTCGCAAATCAGCAAACTGCTGCTGACATTGCTGTTCCTGTTGGTAATCTTCTTCGTATGGATGGACGTGAATCTGTACATACGCATCCAGGACTATCCGATCCGGGACAACGAGATTCGGCTGATCAATGGAAGCACGGTGCTGAAACCCACGCTGCCAGTTACGTCGCCCTATGCTACGTCTTCGGTGCCTTACCGGCAACCGCTAGTGGCAGCCCGTTACGAAGATGTGGCGTGGGTGTCGTGCGATTTAAATCCACTCTGCGATGTAACGGTGAAGGCAATGATGTTGGATCACACCAATCACTATCTGTTCGCCCCGATGGCAACCGTTGCAGACAATTTGGCTGGATTCTCGAAAGGGGAGCTGATTACGCCGAACATGATATCGTTTTTCCACGTGTTTGTCGCCATCGCGTCCGGTAGGATGATTGCATCGGATTCGCTCGGTTACAGGAGAATCGGTGTGATTCTGTTCCAGTTCCGTACGTTCCTGGACGATTTGGATGGACATGTGGCTCGTGCAAAGAAGCACATCCGCGGAGAACGGTCGGACATTGGTTCGGCCGGATACTATATTGATGGCATCTGTGATGGCTTGGGTTGCATCGCCCTGATGATTGGCGTTTTTATTTTCCTGAAGAATAATCCTCCGCGGAGAGGCTACACTCAGCTGCAGTCCATCATTCCGGTGTCCGAGGCGAAAAATTCCGAATCGGGCGTCATCTACAAAGTGAAAGTAACAACGAAGAAAGTGGTGCGGAAGGTTCTGTGCTACAGTGGAATCCTGCTGTTGAGTTCCACCGGATGGAACCGATACATTGCCATCTACCAGGACATGCTGGAACGGGAGGACGTCACTCCGACCCAGTTTCTCCACCAGGAGTCTGTGTTCCGATCGACGGGATTCTTCTTCATCTGCTGGCTGTGGCGAATCTTCAACGTCCACGCGCTGCTTCACTTCCTGCTGCTGAGCATCTTCTGTGATAAACTATGGGAGTACCTGCGTATGATCCAGTACGCCGGCTTTGTTACGCTGCTGGTCATCATCAGTGTGGCCGAAATGCACCTGCTTGGGGTGCAAAATTTTATCTATAAATCACTGACTGGTAACAATACATCGTTGTGATTAAATTAAGGTTTAGAGATTACAAACTTTCAGCGTCCTGAAGAAAAACTCCCCCCAACGTCCCACTTATTATCATACATACAATTCGTTAGTAACATTTTTTTACACTCACAAACAACTGCATATTGTATAATTAGGGAAAAGAAGTGACCGCGAAGCAAAGCCTTAGAAGTTAGTGCGCGCGCGATTGTGTCAGAGACACAGCGGAAGTCCGCGGAGAATGGAGAGGGAAATTAAATTTGTCCTTGCAGCACGTGTCGCATCCATTACTCCCATATTACTATTGTACACAGTCCACGCGAGTCTATACATATACGTTTGATCGTTGATTTTTTTATTGGCGGATTAACACCGTACCGAGAGTCGCAGAACTATATTATATATATATTTAGAAGAGGAAAAATCAAACGAAGCGCAATCTTCAATCAAATAGAAAGAAAAGGAAATTACAAAAAAAAAAACAATAAAGAGATGAAACTATGTTTAGTGTTGGAAAATCACGAACACACACACTTTTTCTAATGGTAGTTTTTAAGGCAGAGAAAGATGTGAAATAGCTCTATATTTAGAATGTAGTATATATTACTTATATAACTAAAGCAACGGAACGAAAACAATATCAGAATCGATGATCAAGTGAGACGGGCGTAGCCATCTGTGTTTTGTCCGCGGTCTTAGCCACACGCCAGTTTTACGTAGTTTGAAGAGATTAGAGAGAGAGAGAGAAAGAGAAATATATAAGTGGTAAACAGGTTAAAAATGAGAATTATTAGCACGTTGAAAGCGGTCAACAAGGTTACATCGGAAGTGTGTTGGATAAATAGGAAGTGTGCTAGTTATATCCTACGGAAAGCTTTCTAATGAATCGAAGGAAATGGTTTCTGTGCTTATTGGCCCTCAGATGTCACTACTGTTGTTTTGTGGCGACATCGATCGGAAATTACGCATAAACTGTTTTCCGATAGTTGTTAACAGGGGGCAGTGAAGTCAACAAACCTAGCAATTCCTTTCACAGATTTCAAAATAGAGTACGTGACACTGCGTCTGATACATCTATATATGCATTTAGATTCACATCCGAAGTCCTTCCTTATAAACATACTCGACACCAATATGCTTCTTAACCCGAGCAAGAATCGATAACATATGAATAGCTCATTTTGGTATGCTTGTGGTAGAAAACCTTGTTTTGAAATTATTCAGTTATCGAAATATTTTTTTAAAGCATCAAATAAATACCAAAATAACAAAACGTGATCTTTCAGTTTATGCCAGAGCAGGAGAAAATAACTTCAGTATACCTAATTCTGACCTGATACCAACATTTGGCGTTGATCAGCATGACATAAGAGGTAAAATACCAAAGATACTTGGATAACCTGTGTGGTATTATTTTGGTATCGCATTTGTATAATTTGGTATTGGAATGGTATTGTGAGAACTTTTTTGTGGTATTTTACTTCTTATGTCAGGCTCATTCATACTTATTTATGGTATCGAGATATTCATTCCTGCTCGGGTAGAAAATAATACCTAAAATACTTATTGGATTGATATTAGAAGACCTCTTTAAAAACAAATTAATCGGGCATTAAAAAAAAAAGCTTTAAGTATCCATCAAATATAATAGTATCTAAATTATTTATTTATTCGATATTTCGTAGAACATTTTTGAGGTATCATTTTTGGTATTTTACCTCTTATGTCAGGCTCATCAATACAATATTTAGGTTGTCAGTTATGCTGTTATCATAACTGAATTCGTAAGTTATTTTTTTCCTGCCCGGGCAGCCCCGCCCTAATCAGAGAAAAAGCGCGAAATCCCACTAGAGACGAAGCTTAGGAAGTATTTTTTGTGTGTGTCGAGTTTGTTTAAAAGAAGGGACTTCGGATGCTAATCTAAGTGCATAAATAATGCTTAAATCTGTGCGAGGAAAATCACACATCATGTGTCTTTAAAAATAAAGGGTGTATTCGATAAAAATGACTCATCAAAATTAAACCGATTATCGGATTTTCTTGAAATTTTCAGAGAATGAAAAACTACTAACGAGTTATGATTTACCAAATTTGTTTTATTCAATTTCGTCTCCCATCCCGAATGCCCGCACCTTCCTTTTCACTCCACCCATCAAATTTTGTACAACCGATTTTCCCAGTGTTTTTGTTGTTTTTACCCAAATTTTCTTCCACTCCAGCTCTGTTTTAATAGTTTTGGGATGTTTGCGAAATTTCGTCTTTATAATTGCCCAGAATGTTTCAATTGGGTGAAGTTCCGGTGAATTGGGTGGGTTCATTTTTTTTTTTGGCACAAAATTGACTCCGTTGGCTCGGTACCACTCCAAGATATTTCGCTCCTTAAGGCACTCTTCCGTGTAAATCGCACCGTTGATTGTTCCGGAAGTGATAAAGGGAGTGCTTATTTCACCACATCCGCAAATCGCCTGCCAGATCGGGAACTTCTTTGCAAATTTCGATATTTTCTTCTTTCGAACATACTCAGGAAAATCGAAGTTAGACTTGGCAACGAAACATTCTTGCCCAGTTGACGGAAGTCGGTCTTGACGTAAGTTTCTTTATCCATCACGATGCAACATGATTTAGTGAGCAACTTCGTGTAAAGTTTCCGTGTTTTCGCAGTGATGTTTTGCTTTTCATTCCAGTTTTTTTGGCGTTTTGCACCTTGTAAACATGTAACCCAGCACGCTTCATAGCTTTCTGCACAAAACCGACTGGACATCTTGAATTGACATGTTTGGACGGTTCTTGAACTGTTGCACCATGTTATTTACTATCCATTGGACCACTCTTACGACCACTCCCTTCCTTCCTTCGGGCACTCAGACGATCCTTGAAGGTTCTTATCACACGAGACCCAGTTCGACAGTGAGCATGCATAAGGGCGTAAACGCGATGATCGATTCTCTTCGTCGATTTTCTCTTTTGTTAATAACTCGCTAGATTTAACGTTTCTCGGTACGTTTGCTGTTGCTTTTGATAGCAAATACAACCTGTTACAGCTATGCATTGAACAAATTCTAGAAAATTGTTTCGCTTAGCTGTAGCAATGCAAAGAGAAATTCGATGAAGAGAATCGATCATCGCGTATACGCCCTTATGCATGCTCACTGTCGAGTTGTATTTGCAATTCCAAGCGATCCATCGGTGGACCGCCTCTGGATTTTGACTGTAAGTGCACAACAAATTTTTCACGGACAATTTCTTGTTTCGACGACAAGACTGGAATAACTTTGAAACAGTAAACAATACACTATGAATAATATTTACTCAAATTTTCAGATTTTTTACTCATACGGTTCAAAAGCTACAGAAGCTTTTCGGTGTGCCATTTTTATCGAATACACCCTTTACATGGCATGTTGAGAGGTTGAGCTCGTGAGAGAGAGAATTGTATGAGAAACAAAGTAGCTTACTCTCTTGGTAGTAAGGTAGTAAGTAAAATCTATGGGAGTGAACTGTTTTATTGTTTATTTTACAGTAAATTAACAATAATTTTCAAGTAAAAGTTACATAGAAGGTAGATATTTACAATCTCTATATCCTTGAACACGCAAATTCTTCAACACTACTTTTGAATATTGAAAATATTGATTTTATCTCTTCTCCCATACTGAATTTCTACGATGACTACCAAGGAAACAGCGCCATCTCTGGGAAAATTCTTTGTAGGAACCACTTAATTCAAATGAATTGCTATGGCAAAAAAAAAATATTTAAAAACACGAGAGATACAAATATATGTGTACATGTGAAGTTTGAATGGGAGGTGTGAAAATGTGTATGTTGAATCCGAAGGCCTTTTTTCAGTGTTGCTGCTCTTTACTATCTCCGGCATGGAACGGAGGTGTGAACAATAATCAAAAATATATCAGTTTAAATCATTAATTTCTCTCTGCCTCCTTTTGGACTTGTGGACTAACTTTCTGAATTGAATCTTGTCTTCCTTCGTCTTTAGTAACACTTTTCTGCGACTTCTAGATATGTTTCATATCTAAAGTAAGGGCTTCAGCAACGGCTGCAAGGCTTCACACCCGAGGGGAAGACCACTCATGCATTTTCGTTTCATCCAAACGTATTGGTGATACGTATTGACACGTATTGATGAATTGAAATGCATTAATGTAATTTTGCTTAATAATTAGTATTTTACGTAATCGCGATTATTTATTTGTAGAATATGCACTAAACATGTAATGAACGAAATTTAAGCGAAGGTTTCCTCCACGTCCTGAACTACCTCCCAAGCTATTCGATGACGGAGGATTGTTGATCACCTCATTTATTTGACGGCACCACTCATCATCTTTGTCAGCCTTCGGTTTCTGCATCCAGAAGAACAACCTACAACTGGAACTCTTGAACTTAAACAAGAAAACCCGCCCAGTCTTGACGTTCTCAATCTTCTTGAAGTCGCAATCATCCGGAAATACGATCATCCTCAACATTGCCAATCATACGATCCTTCAGTGGACCCTACACGATTGCTTTTATTGACAATAACCGTATTGTCAATATATTCAATTTTGACGTCAATACATCGGTATTGACAAAATTTCTGCACTCACATCATCAATATTATTGTCAATAATTCCCCTTCGCGTCAATATATTGATACGTGCGGGGTTCGCTTTCCAGCAGAAATGAATCAATCCATTGTTCACCTGGTACACGTACAAGTCTTCTCCGGATGTACCATTTTGTTGCCAAGGTTCATCCTTCCTTCAAACAGATGATGGTTTCCCCTCTGGTTTCCCCCGGAAGTACCCCATGGGTACCCGAGCAAAGCTGGTGAACAAAATGAAAGCAAATCGATATTAAAGTTTGTAGTTCCTATCATAATGAAAACTCATTTTGATTTCAATTGTCACGACATTAGTCTGATATCATATTGTGCTTTCGTTATGCAGTCAAAACTTTTTAAATGAAAGCAACTAAACTTGAAGTTCTGCTGTTAACGTCTTATTTAAAATTTAATTTAAGCTCATCTGTCGTTGAACTAACTATTATTGTGTATTTGTTTTGTTTAACACATTTCAGATCATTCGTCACTTGCCCGGGGTGAGATTTGAGCTCAATTCTTTCAGCGTGAAAAGCATTGATGCTAACGATTTACACCAGGCTCGTATTCAGTTAAACATTATGAAATCAAAATCAGAAATCAAATTGATTTCATTGAAAGCAAGATTAGTTTTCCGTTTGATTCAACAGTGTTAAAGTTTTCTCTCATTTTTGCTGTGTTAACCGTTAAGTCGGTTCTATAACATTCCCCAGAATGCACCATTCCCCACTTTTCCTTTTTTCACTATTGTAAAAAACACTATGTTTACTTTTATGGAACTATGTATTTATCAATTCCAAGCCATTTTTTAGCTCTTTATAAAATGACAACCTTCAAGTTTTCGAGCACTTCGTTCATCATTTAATAAGTCAAAGGGTCTATTATGCAATCTAATTGAACCAGTTGGAAACTGTTAAACCTTATCGAAGAATTGTTCGACCTGAGTTGAAGAATTTCTCGTGATGGATTAAAAAATCGGTGCATGGAACGTTGAACTACCGATTACAAATTTATAACATTATTCCACTCGTTATTATCCCAACTGGTCATTACCCCGAATCCCTTGCGAAAAGCTATTGATTATATATTTTCCTTATATATTAAAAGAAGGGAATATTCCCTTCTTTATCATACATCCAAAGAATTAATTATTTTCTCTTTT